TAACCTGAAAATAATCTCTACTAGAAAACAAAGAAAAACAAAGAATTCAAATGGTGATGGTGATGGTGATGAGGATGATATCCATTCAGGCATGTTCTGATTCTTGGCAATTCCATGGGCCAGGTGGTCTCTCCATATCTTCTGTACTTGCACTATATCTTTGAGTTTTGCTATGCTCTGGCTGCTGTCAACTTTGATGGTGTCTAGCTACTGTGTTTTTTGATGGTCTGATTTCCTTTTACTGCTAATTCTTCCAAACACTTTTCTCCAGTGAATTCCCCCACATGACATGACCAAAGTAAGTGAGACTCGCCATATGATACAATGATATCATTATTGTGTATAATTTTTCTTAACAACCAAGCTTGTATTTCACCAAATGTGCAGAGGATTTGAACATTGACTGAAGCTATGCCTGCCATTTAGTAAAAGCTCACGTTTAGCTTTTTTTGTTTGTCAATTGAGTTTGTTATTTGTAGCACCAATAATACAATGAACAATTATTTCCGAAGAAAGAATAAGCAAATGAGATAGACAATTATCTACCTCCTGAAGCTATAGATATGGATTGCTGGGGTCAGACAATAATTTCTTCACTATGGAATAATGCCAAGTGAACAGATTTTTCTCCTGAATGGGGAACAATGATTCACTTCCCAGAGTTCAAGCAGATCCTTGCAATTTGTCTGATCTCAACTGCTGTACATTTTTCACAGTCATTGCAGAATTGTATCAGCAATCACACTGGATGAGCATGGCAGCCGACCAACCAACCAACAGGGTTTTCTTTTAATCAAAGACCATGTGGAGGAGAAAGGATGGGTGGGAGGTGGGAAGAGGAGGCACAAGGATATTCAGAACATAAGCTTTTTTTTTTAAAGCTGATTGCCAAATGTGGCCAAAAAATAAAATTGACAGAGAAATTTGGGGAAGGAACTAGGGAAGCTGTGTTGGACCTGCTTAATCCTGTTATCCTAATTGCTCTTTTGCAATTTTCGAAACAGAAAAAATAAAATTTAATCAAGCTCTCCAATACCCCATCTGCATATTACAATTTTATAGTGAGGGAAGGCATTTAGTTTGCTCCTGTTTATCCTTTAAGAAAAAAAAAGCTACATAGTTTTTGGGATGATGACTCATTTGTGGACTAATAGTCTCTAACAATATGAAGATTTTCAATTCCCCATTTCTCATTTCAAGAGTTTAGGACTTTAGGAAAGAGTATTTTCTCAACAAAATAATTCAGACCAGTATTCTCAGTGTTGGCAACTTTAAAATGTCTGGACTTCAACTTCCAGAATTCCCCAGCAAGCATGCCAACTAGAGAATTTAGGGTGTTGAAATCCAGATATTTACTTAAAGTATTAAGGTTGAGAAACACTGGTTCAGCCATTAGTTTCAGATTCTGCCTTTCCTATAAGCAGTCATGTCAATTCACAAAGGAAAGTCACCTCAAAAATTGGATATTTCCATATCCATTCAGGGATGGTAGCTGGCAGTGGTGGGATTCAAATAATTTAACAACCGGTTCTCTGCCCTAATGACCAGCTGGGTAGGTGTGGCTCAGTGGTCATGTGACTCTGTGGGTGTGGCCAATTCAACATCACTCACGTCTATGGGTGAAGCACATTAGTTGTTACAATGTAATAAGGGTTAACCAGAGAGGTAGTTTCTGTAAGCAGGGCAATAAAGATTAGGCTAGAAACAACACCAGAATGTTTCCTTCCTGCCTTCCTTACAGGATTAGCCCTGTAAAGTGGAAAAAAACCAAAATAAGACTTCTTTTAACAACCGGTTCTCCCGAATAGGTGCGAACTGGCTGAATCCCACCATTGATAACTGGCCTTTAGAATCACTTATCCCTGGTAGAGAATAATCTGGGACCCTGGGTCACCCAAGGTCTACTTCCAACATTACTGATTATCTTCAATTTACAATCTCAACTGGGACCAGAATCCCCGTTGCTAAACAATGCAATTGTTAAGTGAATTGCATCCAATTTTATAACCATTTTTTTTTTGTCATGGTTATTATGCTGTTGTTAAGTGAATCATGCTGTTAAGTGACTCTGGCTTCCCCCATTGACTTTGCTTGTTGGAAGCCAGCTGGGAAGATCATAAATGGTGACCATAGAATTCCAGGACACTGTCATAAAAAAATGCCGGTTTCTAAGTTTTGATCACATGACTGTGGGGACGCTGGGACAATCTTAATAAGCACAAGGACCGCTCATAAGTCACTTTTTCAATGCCATTGTAATTTTGAACAATCGTTAAACCAATGGTTGCACATTGAAAACTACCTGCACACACGATCCTACACCCAAATGCAATGAAATTAGTTGAGAGAATGAGATAAATTAATGAATGACATTACAGGTAGTCGTTGACTTACGACCACAATTGAGCCCAAAATTTCTGTTGCTAAGCGAGACAGTTGCTAAGAGAATTTTGGCCCACGTTACCACCTTTCTTGCCACAGTGGTTACCTGAATCACTGCAGTGAATCTGGCTTCCCGGTTGATTTTGCTTGTCAGAAGGTTGCAACCGGGAATCGCATGACGCTGGGACATGGCAACCGTCATAAATAGAAGTCAGTTGCCAAGCATCTGACCACTTTTGATCACATGACCACAGGGATGCTGAAATAGTTGTAAGTCACTTTTTCTCAGTGCCGTTGTAACCTCGAATGGTCACTAAATGAACTGTTGTAAGTCAAGGACTACAAGCAATAGCCGAGAGGTACTTTGGAGAAGTTACACCTGCTTTTCATCTGGCAATCATATAGTCCTCTGTTCTCTGAAGGAAGGAGCGCCTTTTCCCATGTGGTTTTGAAATTTTTGGAAGTTGCAGCTTCCCTTTTACCTCGAGGGGGTACAGGAGTGCTCAACATCACAGTTGTGAAAGAAATATCTACTGACATTCTGCACCCACAAAGAGAAGCTTGCTTAGAAAACACAACCTGACATAGAAATCCTGTATCAGATTTCCTTTGCCCTTGGCATCCCCCAGAGTTAAGATGGAAGAACAGGGGTAGCCCCCTCCCTCCCATCTTTTAAAAAAAAGAGGTCAAGCACTCCAGCCTGGGTTTACCTCCCGCCCCCACCCCCACCCCCGCCCCCACTTCAGCCTTGCTTGCTTTGTGGTTTGTCTCATTAATTACAATTCTCCGCAGGCTACATTATTTGCTCACAAGGGAGGGTGATGCCTCTAATTTTCCTTGGCCGCCAGGCTCCCAACAGGTGCTCTGCAATTTCGGACAAGCCCTGGACTTCCTGGATCGGTGCATTGCACGGACTGCGGAGTGCCTGGTTACAGGCACAAAGGAAGGTGTAGCTGAAGGAGTTTCCTCCAACACACCAAACTTTAATTGGGGAGGACAGAGAAACCGAGAGACCCAAACCTTCCAATCCAGCCTCTGGATTCATCAGTTTGCCTCTCGTTTGAAACAACAGGTGAACAAACGAAAGAGGATCCATACCCGGAACTCTTCAGGAGGAAGGTATGTTTGCAAAAGTACAAGTGGAGTGTAAGCCCTGCAGCGCAAAGGGGAAGAGCAGGTCTCCCAAGCTTCCTTTTGAGCCAAAGAAATGATTTCAAAGGTAGGGCTTCGGAGTCAGGAAGGGTTTTCCGAGGTGCTGCTAGGCTTCCTGAACTGGGGGAGATGAAAGAAGCAGCATCCAGCAGGGCTTGCGAAGATGAATAAGAAGGAGGCAGCAGAGATGGTGAGAAGCTGACCGTTCTTACCTGTCTCCCCCACCCCCACTCCCTCCACTTTTGATAAGGGAGATGCAAGTGGTACATGTGGAGGAGGGGAGATGGTGTCTAGGGCGCACAGTTGGGGTTTAAATGTGGCTAGTTGTAAAGGAGACGGTGCCCAGGTGGAATTTATACAACTGGCTTCCAACTAGCAACTTTGCAAACAACAGATGGGGCTCTAACTTCTGCTTTTATCTGGCCAACTTAATTGAGGTTTGTATGGATCAATAGTCACAAGTTTTCCATTCCTCCACTTTCACTGAGAGAGCTTTTGCACATTTAAGAGGAAGAAAGCATTCTCCGGAGAACAAGTAAGATTTCTCTATTATACCCCATTTTTAATTTATTTTTACACATACATCCCTTTATTGTTTTTATAAATAACCCAAGGCAGCAAACATACTTAATATTTCTTCCTCCCGCTCTTTTCCCCACGAAAGCAACAACCCTGGGAGGTTGTTTGGGTAGAGAGAGAGAGTGACTACAAATAGTCCTTGACTTACAATAGTCCATTTAGTGACCGTTCAAAGTTACAACAGCACTTTAAAAAGTGATTTAGGATTGTTTTTCATACTAATGTCAGTTGCAGCATCCCCATGGTCACATAATCAAAATTCAGATGACTCATATTTACGACGGTTACAGTGTCCCATGGTTATGGGATCTCCTTTTTGCAACCTTCTGACTAGCAAAGTCAGTAGGGAAACTAGATTCACTTAACAATCAGGTTACTAACTTAACAACTGCAATGATTCCCTTAACAATTGTGGTAAGAAAGGTTGTAAAATGGGACAAAACTCAATGTTTCACTTAGCAACATAAATTTTGGGCTCAATTGTAGTCGTAAGTCAAGGACTACCTGTAGCCCAAAGGCACCCAGGCATTATTCATGCCTAAAGCAGGATTAGATCTTGCCGTCTCCTGAATTTTTAGTCTGGTGGGTTAACCACTAGGCCAAACTGGCTTTTTAAAGGCACAGTCCATTTTAAAAGAATGGGATGTAAGCAGTGGTGATATTCAGCCTGTTCTATCTGGTTCGGGTGAATCGGTAGTGGCGGCTGCAGGAAGCTCCGCCCACCCACCCGGACATTATCACGTCCCATTTTTTATGTTCTGTGCATGCGCGCATCATCACATTTGCAAACCGGTAGCGAAGGTAAGTGAATACCACCCCTGGATCAGTGGTGGGTTTCAATTTTTTTTACTACCAGTTCTGTGGGTGTGGCTTGGTGGGCAGGCTTGGTGGGCATGGCAGGGGAAAGATACTGTAAAATCTCCATTCCCACCCCACTCCAGGGGAAGAATACTGTAAAATCTCCATTCCCACCCCACTCCAGGGGAAGAATACTGTAAAATCTCCATTCCCAACCAACTCCAATTCCCAACTCGATCAGCTGGGACTTGGGAGCCAGAGAATAGATGGGGGCGGGGCCAGTCAGAATTTTTACTACCTTTTCTCCGAACTACTCAAAATTTCCGCTACCAGTTCTCCAGAACCTGCTGAAACCCACCTCTGCCCTGGATGTAAGGGTATCTCTGGAAAAGCGTGAGTGAAATGGAGGGAAAGGTAGGCTTATAAATAAAACACTTCCTAATTCCCATAGTGTGTTCCTGGCCTTCTAGGAGAAACTGGGACCATGATTTCTATCACCAAACCTTTCTCTCTTAGTTTCGCAAAGCCTTCAAATTCATAGTCACAATAAAGGGTGAACTAAGAACAAACTAGGCCAAAATCTTACCTATACCTCACTTGCTGCAGTTAGAGAAGGACTGAACAAAAATGACTATTTCTCAAGATAATCACAACCTTGAAAAATAATATGTAATATTTGGCTCTCCAGATATTTAATTTCACTTCCCATTGTCTCTAGCCAGCATGGGCAGAGAAGATAATGAGAACTGTACTCTAGCAATATCTGGGGTGCCACAGTTGGTCCATCCCTCTTGCAAAGTACTATTTCGTGCGCTCCCCTTAAGAATACACCAAAATGAAAAAACTTATTGAACCATTTTCTCTTCCTGAACACCGTAGGAGCCGTGACCAGAAGAATAAGCAAATGCATTTGCAGCTGTGCGAGGCTATCCTTCCACAAACTGGTGACTTTTCTTGCTGAGGTTTTTTCCCCCTTCTGCTTCTATATAAATGAAGAAATGTAACATGTCCCCCAAACATTAGATTGGGATTATATAATAATGGGAAAGAGCATTGAACTAGCTTTCCTGAAACCATCTTAACATCCAAACGACAAGAGAATTAAAAGCTAGTTGAAGAAGAAACTTTGATACATGAGAATACAGATGCATTTGATACATGAGAATCCAGATGTTACAGGAGTGATACCTAACCCCTTATTGCTAATCGGTTAAAAGAAGGAAGGATTGTGGAATGTGGATTAACCTGTCAAGACAAATATATAACAAATTTCCATAATCTGAAATTAGAACACTGTTTTGCTGACTGACTGAAAAGCGGAATTTTCATGTCTGTCATTCACTGGCCCTTCTCTGAAGTTTTTCTCCAAGTTGCTTTTATTGGCTGGAAACTATGAGAATTTCTGAGTTTCACATGACTCAAGAAAGCAAGTTTGCTTTAGCTAAAAATTGAACATTGCTTATTTGCTTCAGGAAAGAAAACACAATAGATTCAGATGTATTTCTCAATTGTTCCTTCAACCACATAGTATAACAAATATCCCAGCAATTAATGAGTGTAGATTATTTTATTTGTTGGTTGGTTGCAGGTAATTTCTGACCCTTATCTAGCCACATAGAAGACGCTTTTTCAGGATCAATATTTGGGTCCAGAAAAAATGTGTTTGTTTTTTAAATGCTTTTTGATGTGTTTTCAGGAATGCAAATGAGCAGCTATTTACTGCAAACGTGGAAACATCTGAAAAGAGAAAACCGGAACTTCTTCTCAGGATAACCTGTTAGGAAGAATGTTTGGACTTTATGGAGATATATGAAAGGTGTTTTTTTTTACATATGCACAAACACAGACTGTTGTCAGATATTGAGGAGTGGATGAAATAGAAGATCTGGTTAAAAAACAGATAAATGTTCTCATGTATGTCTAAGCAAAGCAAGATATTCTGATGGTCTCTGACAGATGTCCTTCTCTTGACTGTTTAGATCCATTATCTTATTTCCAAATTCTATGTTTTCTTATTTTCATGTTGCTCGTTTCAATTTAGGCTTCTGGCCTCATGTGCTGACCTCTTTCATTTTCTCTGCTTCTGCTGATCCAGAATCCAAACATTCTTCTTTCTATATCTGGCTCAACCAGCTCTTTCAATGTCATCATCTCATCCGAAGCCTTCAGAGGTTAGCTGTCTAGAAGGAGATCAGTAACTTGAGATTTGTGTAGCCAGATTCAGGGTTTAAATGAATTCCTCCATCATAGCCATCAGTGAGAAGGAAGAGAAGTTGCAAAAGAAAGGATTACAGGCAGAATTCTGTGGGTTTCCACAGAATTGTTTAGGAAGTGCCACAGCTAAATTGTACATCTAAATTAACGTGTAAGAAGATATTGTGGTTTTGTCTTTAACTTCTAATGATGATATTTGTCTTTATTACAGTATTTATTTCATGTTTTAGAGCACTTGCCTCCACTATATTAGGCAATGATTGCTAGGAACACACCCTAATACCTTTATAGATTAGATTAAAACATATGATCTGGGTCACTATTAAAATAAGGGTTTAAGTTGTTAATTCTCTCTACTCTGGTACTGGAACTGAAATTTGAGATTAAAAGAGTACACTGTTTGATCCTGATGGGATAAAATAAGTCCTAAAATTCCCTACCCTCTACAATTTCTTTTTTCCTATTTTGTTCCTTCTTTTGTTTTCCGCCAAACAAAGCCTGTTAAGAGGGGGGGAGAACAGTCATTACTAATGCTGTTTGATTAGTTGCTAACCAGCCTAGTCTGTATTCTTCTTTTCTTCTGGTCAGATGGCCATCTAACATCCTTTGAATCAAGGTGGAGGATTAAAAGATAGAGCTATAATATAATCAAGGATATTGTTACTACTGCAAAGCAATACTAACAGGCACTTGGGAAGCGTGTTTCCCTCTCAGGAGTTTAAAAAAAAAAATTGGGAACAAGGAATTACATTACAGGAAATGTTGATGTTAATTTTTTAAGATTTCAAGGTTGGACCAGGAAGAGTTGCTCCTGTCCAGCATCGCAAATGCTGGCAGAAAGGACTGTGACTTGCTAAAATAATAGGGGTATCCTGTAGACACTTTAGAATTGCACGTTCTGTTGTCAAGGGCCATGGCTGGATCCCAGATCCGCTGCCTGGAGAGCGAAGAGCCATACATTAAAGTAACTGAATCAAATCCTGAATTTTATTATTGTGAACGTCAGCGGTTGGCCCTTGAAGCTCTACTTGCCAATGGTGAGGAAGCCTTCAATCAGTGCCTCTCCCGTGAAAAGCTGCGCCCCTTTCTGTCAGAGGGTGAACTGCAGGAATTAAAGGCTGTAGTAACGGCAGAAGAATTACAGGCTCCCCCTTCAGGTGGAGCAGGGACTTACAGTTTTGGAACGAAGGGATCTAGTCTCAGCTACTGGCCTCAGCGTTCAGATGATCCACCCCCAGAACTGGAGCTAGGGTGGCCAGACAATGGGGCTTGGAAAGGAATTACCCGAGCGGAGGTCTATACCCACCCACCAGGAGAAGGAGCGCCACATATTAAGGAATTGGTACGCAGCTGTATCCAACAAGCCCACAAGGTATGAAGGAAAGGTAGCAATGGGTATTTTCCTCAAGATGAAAAAAAAAAGTGAGAAAATGTGTGGAGAGTTTTAACAAAGCTATTCTGCAGAAAATGGCATGTTCCCAAAACAGATATTTTCATATTATTGTCACACAAAAATCTTTATCAAATTGTCTTCCCTTCCAAAAAGGCAATGCATTGTCTATTTCTATGTGCATTGTAAGTCAGCATATCAGTAAAATAATAGTTTAGAAGCATAAATATGTTTTTGTTTGAAGATACTCTGGTACATCGTGTTTGGTAGTACACCATAATATTACATCACATCTGCCAATTCCACTTCTAGTATAAATATTAGCATGTTTTAATGTACTAGTCTGATAACTGAATCATTAAAGCTATATTTAATACATTAGTCTGACTAGTAAAAGATACAACCATAATATACAGGTAGTCCTTAAGTTATGACTGTAGTAGAGCCTGCCTATAACAGTTGTACCTTATCTAGGAAAGTCAATTACAAAAATGTCTATGGAGATTGTCAGTCATCCAGGTCATGGACTTTCTTGTTTTTCCTGGAAGATGTTTTGCTTCTCATCCAAGAAGCTTCTTCAATTCTGAAGCTTTAGAATGAGAAGCGAAACGTCTTCCAGGAAAAACAAAGGAGGTTGAGTTGCCTTTTGAAAAAGCACCTTTGGAGTTGCTCTTCTACTATTCCATATATTTTAAAGTTTTAGGATGAAGAATGAACCAATTTGGAAACCAAAGGTAATATGTGTCATAAGACTGGTTAAAGAGATTGTACATTTATATATGTTTTATGAGAAATAAAACATATATAGTATTTAGTATATGTAGTATTTAGCTTCCAGCTGCCTGCAATTACTGCGAGTTCAATTCTCACCAGGCTCAAGGTTGACTCAGCCTTCCATCCTTTCTAAGGTAGGTAAAATGAGGACCCGGTTTGTGGGGGCAATAAGATGACTTTATATAAAATATACAATAGTATAAGGCTATTGCTTAACGCATTGTAAGCCGCCCTGAGTCTTCAGAGAAGGGTGGCATATAAATCAATCAATAAATAAATAAATAAAATAAAAATAAAAAACTTTTATATATAAAAAGAAAAGAATAAGCACCTTTGGGTCAGTTAGAACAAGAATATTCTCTTAGGTTGAAACCAAAACCAAAACCCCAAAATGTCTGAGCCCACATAATAAGATATAAATCAAGTAAAGTATGTATACCACGGGTGTTGCAAAGAGGACATATCAAAACAAATCAAGATGTTTGAATCAAAAATATTGACTTTTTAAAAACCTCCTCTATCAATATCCTGATGTGCACACTCTTGATTCATATAATTCTGCAAGCTGGATTCAGCACACTTTACTGTTATTTTAAGGAGATTTAATTTGTAAAGCAAGGTTACAAACCTTTTGCTGGTCTCACAAGCAAACTGTTTCTTTTCTAGGTGATTGCTATAGTCATGGACATTTTCACAGATCCTGATATTCTCTTAGATCTGTATGATGCAGCAATCAGGCGGCGGGTACCAGTTTATCTTGTGCTCAACCAGCAGCATCTTCGCTCCTTCCTCTCCATGGCTGAGAAAACTTGCCTTAATGTCCGTCACACAGAGGTGAATAGGGGAACGCTTCAGTTTCTAAGCAGCACCCACCGGAGAGTAGAATCTCAGCATGGAATGAATTCAATTAATTATCATATGGTTTGCTTTTAAATGCCTTCTCCCCCAATATACATACATTAATGTTGGCATTAACTGAACGTAGGACCAAGATTTTGTCAATGGAGTCTTTAGAATTTGTTTTACTGAGCAAAGAGTTTGAAACATTGAGGGGTCTCCGGTCAAAACAGGTAGGGGGTTTGAGAACGGGATTTATATCATCTTCATCAAAATCATAGCTGTAACTATCTTTAATTTTAAATGCAAAGTGCTTCTCTTCTCATTGGATTTGCAAAGCTTGTCAATTGTATTTTTTTTTTAATGTTGGTTAGATAATGTATCAGGCAGTGGTTAAGAATCTCCAAAATATTGGGTGAGACTCTGATTCCAAATCCTGACTTGGCTATAAAATTAACTAGATATAGCCATTGTGAAATCTGCTTTATCAAGTTATCAAGTTTATCAAGTAAAAAGATGAAGGGACCACAGCTAGATTGTTAAATCTGCCCACCCAGTGAGATCTAGCATGAAGGGTTTACTGGAAGTCTCACATTAGAAAGAATGATATATTTTGTTTTCCTAGTCATAAGCCAGAGTCCTTGAGAATGGAGTGGCATATGAGCCAAATAAATAAAGTCTTGAGTACCTTGAAAAAAGGTGGACGTGCAAATAGAATAAAATAAATATGATTTACATATTTTAATTGTACATATGTGGTGCATGCCATTGGGGTACCTTCTTGTATCTCAGCCGATAGAAAATATAGTTGATTTTTTTTTAAGGTACCATTTTTTTCCAGGCAAAACAGTTCAAAATTATTGAGCTAAAATGCTCTCCTTTTGTGTATGTGAGCCAATATTTTTTCAATGGTGGCATTGAACTAATTTGAGATCCTTTGAAATGTGGCTTGGGTTACCAAAAGGTCCTCAAAATCTTTAATTGTAGCCTTTGTACAGTGTTTTGATATTGAAGTTGGAGCAGCTTTTCAAAAGATGCTGTTTTCTAGATGAGCAGAGTTGGTCAGTGACGTTTCTTCTAGATCAATGTTTGTAGGTCATTGGTTAGAAATCTTATCAATGCTGGTTTTGGAATCCTGGAGGTCCCTATATCTGGAAATTAGCATAGTTTAAAAAATACTGTTCTGGACAAATAGGAGTAACTGATTATCCAAGTGCACTGTATATATTATATATATATATATACATATATATTATATACGTGATTTTTTTTTTAACTGTACTCTTGCATAGAACCTGCGAGTCAGAACTCTTCGTGGCTGTACATTCCAAAGTAGAAGCCAGAAACAGATCACAGGAACCCTGAAGGAGAAATTTCTGCTGGTTGACGGAGAAATTGCAATTACTGGCAGCTATAGGTAAGAGCTCTTCCTTGTTTTTCTGTGCAATAAATGAAGTTGTTGTGGATCCTGGATCCAGAAAGTGGCAAAATCATGAATAGTTTATGGCTGCAAGGTCTGCAAAATGCCTCTCTGGGGATGTCAGCTTTTGATCAAGAGCAGTCCTATGCCCTTAAGAGTATTTGAAATCAGCAAGTGAAGCTTTTCTCCGCATGAATCCGATCACTCATTAAGCTCTGCGTAATATTCTCCTCTCTTGGGAAGGTATGTGACTCTCAATTAACAGGCAGCAGCTTAATTTGGTAACTTTCCAAAGTTTCTCAAAAACCAAAGTAAGTTTACTGCTTCATCGCAAAGCAAATTGTAGGGGATTAATTACAAGACACTAAAATTGCAAATGGAGATATTACAGCTTGAAACAGAGGCTGGTTGTAGGAATTGATGAGGAATGATGTGTGATAGAAAGAAATGATACTTCGAAAGGACTTCTGCCCTCATGGGGTGTTTGTGCTACATGGTTACATTTTCCAAAAAGAGGATTCCTTGGGTTGGTTGATCCGTGCAGATAGCTCTGGAAATCTCCTTGGATCAAATTGCTTCCAGGCTCAGAGAAGCATGAGATGATTTTAAATTCTGCTGGCTGCCATGAAGATGATTATGGCTATGAAACCAAAGGGGAACTTGATGCTCTTTGTGGTATGGAAGGATAAATTGTGATGTAATGGAAAATAACACAAGTCCCTTGGAGCAAAACACATATTAGCCAAAGACATAGCTAACTACCCTCTTCAATCTTCATCACTTCTGCTCAGCCTATGGTTATATTCTCCTCATCCTAACTCCTAGGATCAACCCAGTGAAGGGACTGTCCAGAGGGCACTGTGTTTGGGGAATGATAATGTCAGAATGGTGCCCCAAGGTTTATTAGAGTAGGGGTAATGAGATTATTCCTCTCCAGATATTAGATTTCTGGAGCCATGGGAGTTCAGCCGTATCTGAAGGTGCAGACGTTCTCCAGCCTTCTCTAAAAGTGTTGGCTCAAAAGAAAGGACACCGGCTTTCCATTCTCAGTGGAATTTTAGTTTTTTTAAAACATACATAATTGGATGTGTCCACATTTCCCATGTATAGATACTCTTATATAACTTTCTGTGTTATTTCTTCCCACTATGACTTTGAGATGTTAAGTTTTTGGAGACAGGGAGGTAACACTGAAAGCACCATAGAAATATTTTGATACACCTCAGTGTCAATGAATGGGCCAGAAATCACACAAAGAAATGGACCAGACAGATGCCCACCTTAACATGTTTTTCTCTACTCTCTGGATCATCAGAAAAATATTCTAGGCTAAATTGCATTACCCAATGGCTCAGCTCCATCCTGCTTCAGGAACGAGATGAGCAAGTGTGGCTGTCCTTATCTTTTTAATGCAAGGCAAATTCAGGCAGCATCAGATAGATATTAATGGACAGGTTCTTTTGCAGAACACAGGTGCCCATTCTTTCCTACAGCCCAAGCCAAAAACCCATATAAAGCAATGCCCTGTGACTAGAGAAAGTGTGCCTTTGTAGCTGCAAGCGGCCAATAGTAGATCCCAGCTCCAACTGTGTCAGCCACGGCATCATTGATGAAATATCCTAAATTGTGTCCATGGTAAAAAAATGAAGGAGAGGAAAAAACCAATTACTTTGAAACTGGAAGAACTGAGATGACCTTTAGGTCTCTCCACTGAGTTCTGGGGAAGAGACCAGGGCCATATCAGGGCATCTTTGTACCGTGGTTAGGGCCTGCTGGATGACCTTGCAAGAGGGTTATGGAACATCAAGATATGTAATGAAGTATTAGTTATGGGGGGAAATTAGTGGACACTATAAATGCTAAACAGCTCTAGGATGCTTGATTGAAGGCTTCAAACAGAGGTTCTTAACCTATCAATCTATTGGGAGAAGCAACCATCAGGACTGAACATTCCAAAGATATTACAGAAGCTATGGGCGAAAGGAGAAGGTACAGGATAATTCACGAAATTTAAGATCTGAGATAACATGATAATCATGGATCCATTAATGGCCACCTCCCTCCTACTGACTTCAAGCATCTTCATAATATCATTCAGCCCTCGCTGAAGTGATAAAAAACTTCATTATCATTATTTTGGCCCAACAATTGAGTGTCTCTATAGATCTAGATTTTTCAACCTTGGCAATTTCAAGTTGTACAGACTTCAGTTTCCAAAATTAATGTTACTAGGGTTAAAAAAACACTATTACAGTTGCTTACTAGTGGAAAAGAGACTTTTAATAAAGTCAAAAATGGGCAAGCAGGCTCAAACTATCTCTTCTTCCACAATTCCAATGTTCTTTTCCTATAAGAATCGCCCAGATGGGTCAGTTTTAACCAGGAGAATGGTTTGATTTGACTTTTGGTTTTGCCTCTCCCACTGAGCATGTCTTGTTCTGGAGCCTCCGAAACCTTGAATTAGGTATGAACTGTTGTGTGTGCACGCACACATACCCAGAGGAGTGATTGTCTCTCATTCTGTTTCCATGCTGGAAGCTCTGCTACTGATCTGCCTGTTCTCCATAACTACTCACAGTGAGGTCTGCCAAGTTGAGTGACAGATTATTTTGTCACTTTCCCAAAAGGCAGAATCTCTCTGCCTTTAATGAGATGCGTAACGGGTTAGAAATACAGGAAGTTATGCTTTTGACAGCACGGTATTTGAGAAAAGGCTGCCTGCCTTCCATTTCAGCCTGCCTTACACACATTAGGTGCCTCCGGGTATGCCAAAAAAAGGGGGAGGGGAGGGAATGGGAACCCATATGTGAGCTTTAAGCTCTGCTGTTTTAATCGAAGGCCTCCCTCATTGGGAAGTCATACAAGTCCTGGAGGAAGAAAAGTTTAACTGGTTTTGATGCAACTGGTGAGGCCTTTTCTGGTTCACTTTTCAGTTGTCTGAGGCAGAAATTAGATGGTTGATGAGTGATGCAAGATCAAATCTGGGTCGGTCAGGACCAGAGATTTAAACTTCCGAGTTTTCAGACTCATGCTGGAACCCATCTTCAGAAACTTCTCTCTACTGGAGGAGGTGCTTTGGGCTGTTCTGTAAGTTGTGTTTATGTGGTGCCTTCCTATTGGCTGATGGGTGTGTTGATGGCTGGCAATTAATTGTCATTTCCTTGTGCTGCCAAGCCCTCGGATCCTAAGTACTTGATAAGCTGGTGGTAAATCAGCACTCCTTTTAACTGACAAGGGCCCTGATTCCCAGGCTTCAAAGATAACTTTCTCTGACTATCTATGTACCTGCATGGCCAACAATCTTAGTAAATGCAAAATTAAATGAGTGTCCTTATTCATTGCAATGTGAGGCTACCAATGAGTTCGGGTCTCCATGTCTGGCCGCTCACTTTTGTTCTTGCAGTCAGAAGATTGCAATCTGGTGCCAGTGACTGATCCCAATTCAATCTTGCATTGTTTTTCTGGGACACCAGTGGTGGGTTTCAAAATTTTTTACTATCGGTTCTGTGGGTGTGGCTTGGTGGGCATGGCATGGCTTGGTGAGTGTGGCAGGGAAGGATACTGTAAAATCTCCATTCCCACCCCACTCCAGGAGAAGGTTACTGCAAAATCCCCATTTCCTCCCGATCAGCTGGGACTTGGGAGGCAGAGAATAGATGGGGGTGGCGCCAGTCAGAATTTTTACTACCGGTTCTCCAAACTACTCAAAATTTCCGCTACAGGTTCTCCAGAACTGGTCAGAACCTGCTGAAACCCACCTCTGTGGGACACATATATTTGCCTTCGTTCATGGTTGATACGTGAATATGGGTAGCAGAACTGGAAAGAACTCTGTGCTAAATGGATCGTGATTTATTGAAATCCATTACAAATTTAGTCCAAGTAACCCTGTGGTCAGTCATTTCTTCAGTTTCAGGAAACCCTGCTTCACTTCCCAATTTCCCATCCATATTCTTCTTCTTGAGATCTCAAATACTACCATTTCTAAGAATTCAGAAATTGTTTGCTTTCCTTTTCATCCTCCACCCACCAGGAAAGTTCATCCAATCTTCTGTCTATGAGAATGCTAGTATACTTTGTGCTGCTCCTTCCTTATATGATATCACGTAATTTGACATCACTCCTCTGTGACGTCACCGGGTGGCCTTATACCCAGATCTCCAAATACTGAAGCTTTTGGCACCTATTGTGATGTCATTGCTTAAGCAGTTATCAGATTCTAGGAGGAGATTCATTCTACTTTTTCAGCGGGTTAGAGTAGCAAGGCTGAAGACTGTGTAATACGGTAGAGAGAGGAGCAGACAGCCAAAAGCTGGGATCCAATGTTGTAGCTTTAAATAAAAAGTCAACCTCAAGAAAGACCAGTTGACATTAAGTATCTGGGAAGTTCCTGTAGATGAGTCAAAAATGTTCTTCTGTATCTGGTGGGTTTTGTAAATCACTACTGGAGGTTAGCCAAGGAGTGAAGTGGAAACTTACCTGAATTCCTGGAACCAGAGAGTGCATAAGTCTAGTTTTCTCCTAAGAAATAAAACCAAATACTACTCTTTGGGAAGTGCAGATCAAGGCATCCTGGCTTATTATTTCTAAAGCCAAATATCTTCTGTTGATTAGATGCCATTATATGCTGGGCAGACTTCCCAGATATAAGCAACTGAGATTCAGAATATTAGAATATGAGTTACTGCAGTCTCCTGTTGAAGCCATGTGAAGAGAAGTTGTAAAAAAGCAAAATAGAAACATAATACCATCAAACGAATATTTTTCCTTTGGACATTTGGATTGAAAGCTGGAAAAGTTGATCTGTTTCTGAAGTCTCTGAAGCCACAACCTTTAACAGGACGCCAGCATTACAAAAAGGAAATCAGATGGTACTTTTCGGTTACCACTCTTAAGCGATAAAGAGTCCACCCTGCAGAAACGCCATCTCCCCTGAGTTGCGATGAAGTGCTCTTTGCAATTTAGCCTGGTATGCATCTTGGTTTGCTTGCTGCCTTCGGCTGTCTCCAAGGACTGCATCTTTTGTGAAGTTACTTCCTCAACAATATGTCCTGGCCTCAGGATGAGCTGCGCTGAAGACGAAGACTGCTTTGTGGGTGAAGGGGTTGCCTTGGGGGTTTCAGACATCCTGAACAAGGGGTGTACCCGCTCCATCAACTGTGGCAAAGAGCAACCTGTTGCCTACATGGGTGTCACCTACAGCTTGGTCACCAACTGCTGTAAGGGGAACTTGTGCAACGGGGTTCAGTCCCTGAGAGGCCCTTCCCTTTTCCTTCAGTTTGCCCTCATCGGCCTCCTGAGGGGGTTCCTCTGATTTTAAAAAAAAGTTTCAAGCAATAAAATAATCGGGATATTTTTGGAATGTTAAATCTTTGTGTCTGTGATGTGAAAAATGGCTATATCCTGGCCCTGGGTGAAGGATAAAGGTAGTCCTCAACTTACAAGCTTAATGGAGCCTGTCCATTACAATTGTTAAGTCACAATGGTTGTAAAGCAGGTCTTCATGTGATTGACCCAATTTTGCCACTTTTTTTTACAGCAATCATTAAGCGAATCAGCATGATTATTAAGTGAATCTGCAGTCATTAAGCAAACTCATTGTTCACTATGGGATGTTTTGGCTGAAAACTGGAAGTCAAGCCTGACTTTTGCCCAAAAGAATCATAAATTGTGTCACGTGACTGGGGCACACTGCAGTAAATGTGAGCTGGCTGCCAAGTGTCCAAAAGGCTGTTATATGACTAGCTGCCATCAGAACTTCAGAACTGAGTCGTAAATACTTTTTTTGGGGGGGGGGGCTGTTATAACTCTGAATGATGGGTAAGGGATCAGTCATATGTCAAGGACTACCTGTAATTCCATTTGTGTCACAGCTTTTTTACAGTTGTAGTTTTAGGGAGCAATGCTGGGGTCAGATGGTGAACAAGGAGGAAGAGAAGGAGGAGAAAGAAAAAGTTGTGGATCTCTATCCAAAGGTTTCTTGCTCTTCACTCCTAACTTGGCCTCTAAACAGTAAGTGGAAAATCCACTGATAAAAGTTGGATTAGGAGTTTGGAGTGAAGCTGCCATTCCCCAGTAACATGACTGCATTTTGGACACTTGGCAACCAGCCCTCATTTAAGGCCATTTGCAGTGTCCCACAGAACCAATGCAGAGGTGGGTTTCAGCAGGTTCTGACCAGTTCTGGAGAACCGGTAGCAGAAATTTTGAGTAGTTCAGAGAACCGGTAAATACCACCTCTGACTGACCCCGCCCCCATCTATTCTCTGCCTCCCGAGTCCCAGCTGATCAGGAGGAAATGGAGATTTTGCAGTATCCTTCCCCTGGAGTGGGGTGGGAATGGAGATTTTACAGTATCCTTCCCCTGGAGTGGGGTGGGAATGGAGATTTTACAGTATCCTTCCCCTGGAGTGGGGTGGGAATGGAGATTTTACAGAATCCTTCCCCTGCCACACCCACCAAGCCACGCCCACCAAGCCATGCCATGCCCACCAAGCCACACCCACAGAACCGGTAGTAAAAAAATTTGAAATCCGCCACTGAACCAATAGTTCTATTGTTTACATCTATGTGTATTGAAATATATACTTATAGGCCTCCAAAAATAGAGCACCTCTTGATGAACCATCCAACACTGGAACTTTCAGGAATAATAAAATAACGTGGAGTTGGAAGAAACCTTGGACTTCTTCTAGTCCAAGCCCCTGCTCAAACTAGAGACCCTGGCCTATACTATTTCAAACCAATGGTTCTTCTTCAGACCAATTTCTTCTTAAAATCCTCCAGTGATGGACCACTCACAACTTCTGGAGGCAATCCGTTCTGCTGGTCAATTGTTCTATTAGCTAGGAGGATTTATGTTTATAGGTAGGTTTGCTGTACTGATGGAAACGGCACATTCAAGACACTAAAAGAAAACCCAGGAATACTCTGATAACAACACAATTCATTCAGAATATGTAGATTCTTTGTTTACAGTCAGGTCCTTTGAGTCCATTAACACATCACATTTTGTTCCTTGTGGTAGTTGCAGCAGATTGCTGTGTGGAACACTGCCACGCTGCTGTCTCCAAGTTCAGGCACAATTTCTCCTCGTTGCTTTTTGACGGCAGTGAATCACGCAGACCAGCTTGCAATAATCCCAGTGCTCTGCTTCTTCAGATTTGGGCCATGAATTTCTCCTGTGGTCAATCAGTTTGTGCATTTACTCCTCTTTCAGATTCAGATTAATGCTTGAACTTCATTATATGGATTCTGACTCTGGTGAGGTTCTGGTTGTTTGCATTTTGATAAAAAGGAAAATGGTCCATCTTAGAAACATCACGTTAGGAATTTGGAGTGGGAATTGTGCCTAATTTGAATTGCTTTAGATATAGATTAGATAGCTTTATTGATTAGCCTATAGGCCATATCAAAGCACAAAGTTTTTTTTAAAATGTAATTTTATTTTAACATATATATGACATTGATATAACATACAACATATACATATCTTATCTCTTTTAAACATTGTTTCTTCGTGGTCTTCTTTCTGTTATTTTATCTTTCTTCCCCTATGTCTTCATTTCTTTCTCTTTTTTCCCCCTCATTGTCCTTCCCCCCCCCCTTTGATTACAATATGTTTTTTAGCTTTAACAAGTTTAACTTTCTACATTTCTCTACAATTATTATATACATAAAATTTTTCTTTTTTATTTATACTGCTTGTTTTTGTCCATTTCAATACATTTTTATTCCGCTCCATACATTTGTTATGTATATATCTTCTACTTCTAATTTTCTCCCCTGATAGTTATTATTCTTTATTTCTCGCCTTAAGTCATTTATACCATTTATTCCATATTCTATAATAATCTGTCTCTTCTTTTTCTTTAATTTCTTTTGTTAATCTATCCATCTCAGCACATTCTAAAATCTTATCTATCAATTCTAAAGCACAAAGTTCAAACACGTGCTTTAGATATAAATAATAGGCAGCTGCAGAATATAGGAAATTTCTCTTAAATTATTTATTCTCCACACAGTCTTCCAATTATCCTCAGTGGCAATGACTTCCTGTCTTTTCATCACAGAATCTTTTCATCTGGATGCACCAGCCACTGAATATGGGACCATAGAATCTTAGAATCATAGGGTCGAAAGGGATACCTTGAAGGTCTTTTAGTAGTTCAACCTTACATGAGCATGTAGAAGAGTGATCTCCTACTTCCTCAATTCAGAATGTGGTTCTATGTGATTTAATTCAGGGGAACGGTTTTTATTTTTTTTTAAGAAGACTGAAATTATTTAATCTTGATGACAGCCCATTAAAGGGGCATTTTAATTTTATTAGGATTACCACAGAAGGGAGATAGACGTCACCATTTCAGTTTCCTTATGGATGGGAGGCAAAAAGAATTTATTCATAGGTAGACCTGTACAATATCAGAGACATGGTCCTATAGATGGTTTCACAGAGTTGTACAATAGCCTTCAACAAGCTCCCCCACGATTACTTCCCCCAATCTCCTTGACTGCACAAATCAGCCACGTTATTCTGGTCTGGAAGGCCATGAATCACCTTCTGATCTGTAAACACTTTTGCAGCTTAGTCAATTAATTTTCAATATGTTTGCAAAGGGTCATAGTGTTTCCTTTGGAACTACAGAGAGGTCAATTCCCACTGATGGGGAAATGCCCTTCATCCATTTTCCTGGCACCCTTCTGCTGTTCTCCCCATCTTGAGAGAGGAGTGGCTCTGTCGGCCACATACCCCATTCATTAGCATTTTGGTTCCTTTTTTCGATGCTGATGAAATGAATGTGGCAAAATTGAGAAGAAGGGTGGGGAAAGGGGTAAAGGCTTGTTGCCATTTTGTAAGCCCTTCTCAGGGCCACTGTCGGGCTCTAAAAACCAAGAAAGACACATCGAGATTCTCAGAGCTGTTTCCTAGTAAGTTTCCCTGACTAGGTGGCTCAGTGGCTAAGACACTGAGCTTGTCGATCAGAAAGGGAGGCAGTTCAGCGGTTCGAATCCCTAGTACAGGTTTGCGTGAGCAGGGGGTTGGACTAGATTACCTCCAAGGTCCCTTCCAACACTGTTACTGTTACTTTTTTGTTCCTCGCCTAAAGACAGAAAGTGCAGACTACTTGCACCATAAAACATAGAGCTAGTTTGGTCTAGTGGTTTAGCTTTCAGGCTAGAAACCAGGAGACTATGAGTTCTAGTTCCGCTTTAGGCATGAAAACTGGCTGGGTGAATTTAGGCCAGTCACCCTATCTTAGCCCAACTCACCTCAAAGGATTGTTGTTGTGAGGAAAATAAGAGGAAGGCCTATTAGATATTCACACACCTTGAGTAATTTATGAAGAGCCTTGGTGGCGCAGCAGACTAAAGTGCTGTTAAATAGCACCAGCTGCCTGCAATTACTGCAAGTTCAAATCTCACTAGGCTCAAGGTTGACTCAGCCTTCCATCCTTTCAAGGTAGGTAAAATGAGGACCCGGATTGTGGGGGCAATAAGCTGACTTTGTATAAAAAAGAACACCGCTTAGGGGGGTGGCGAAAGCCCTACTAAGCAGGTATATACAAAAAGTATGAAGGCTACTGCTTAATGCATTGTAAGCCGCCCTGAGTCTCCAGAGAAGGGCAGCATATAAATCGAACCAATAAATAAATAAATGAAAATAATAAAGGGATATAAATAAAATAATCTGGGAACTATTAGGGAGGAGCTGTCTTTACCCTCTTTCTTCCACACAAACCAACCTTACTACGATGTCTCTTGCTCCTCTAGAATTCTGGGAATCCAGATTTATTATTTTTTTACCACAGCCCGGCAGCGAAAACATTGTATAATATGGTTGAGACAAGGCAAGTGAGAATCTTTGTGGGGAGCCAAAACATTTTAAAAGCATACTGTATATCTTTGGAAATGTCAAAGTTCTCCTAACCAGATTTAATCAGGAAGTCAAAACCATTCTCTCTCTAGAAGAAATCTTGATTCTGAAATACAAAATTCAGTTTGAGTGGTGAACGTGTTGTAATTAGCCATTTCTTCACTTGGAATTCTGCATATACGATTGTTGCTTCCTCTGAAATAAACCTTATTTTATATCTGCACATTCAGCTCATTATTTCCCGTTATTGCTGAAACAAGAATTTCTCACTAAATCTTTGCTCTGTAAATGTAGGCCTTTGTAGTGCTAAAGTTCCTCCCTGTGTCTTTTAGGCTTTCACAATGTGAATAAAATATGATGGTGGTTTTTAAACTGCATGCAGGAGATGCCAAAGGCTTTTTATTTCTTCTTACAACTTGGTTAAAGAGGGAACGTTATGGCAATAGGGCTTAGACATGGGAAATCTGTAAGAAAACTGGCAAAACGGGATTG